AAGTTATATTCGGAAAGAATAAACCAGTTTTTATTAAGAAAGAACTTGTGTCGCTTAAATTTCGTCGGAACGAAGTTACGGAAAATTAATTAACAAACGGAGACGTAACACTATGTTATGATAAGAGATCTACTGAAGTCAGCTTTGTACCAGGAGACAAGGTGTGGTTGTATAATTCCAGGGAGACCAAAGGGAAGTCTTCTAAGTTGTCTTCTCCATGGGAAGGCCCATATGACATAGTGGATCGTCTCTCAGATGTGACTTTACAAATAAAATGTGGTCGGCGAGGTAAGCCAAAGGCGGCGCATGGTAACAGGCTTTGGCGTTATCACAGTACAGAACATTTCAGTTGGAACGAAGGGAACAACGGAACAAATGACACCACTGAAGACGTGTCACTTGAAAAAGCCACTGTCAAAGAAGAAACTCTACCCGGTTTAGAGAAGGGAAACAGTGAAGCAATTAATGAAGTTACTACCACTGATGTGACTGTTACCGATAATGGAACATTTCCTGATGGAGCAGATGAACCCCACGTGAAATAGAAACCAATGAGACAGATACCAGTACGGAAGAAGCTACGTCCTGTAATATTAAGAGACTTTGTTTAATTTTAATTTTGTGTTTGTAAATTCCGTACATTTAATCAAGTTATTGTTAATTATCTATTGGTGTAATGTAAGTGGCTATTGTTCGGGATGAACAATACTAAGGGAGGGGCAGTGTTATGACAGCGGAAGTCACGTGACGCTGGGAGAATGGGTGCTGGAGCTTTTAGAAAGATCCTGACTTATCAGGGAATCTCGCGAATGTCCCAGAGTTTGCTAGACGCCCTCTTTTTTTAGTATATAAGCCAGCGATCGAAGAGATATGCAGATAGATTGTAGATAGAAATAATTGAGTCAAGCGAACAGTAGGCACCATAAGTAAAGTGTGTGAAATACTGTGATTTATAGCATGTGTTATAAAGATTGTTAAGTTTAAAGTGACTGTGGAAATTAAGTGTATTACAAAGATTGTAACGAGAAAGAATAGCTAGTTATAATCATGAAGGGACTTGTATCGCTGAAGTCACTCGGAAAGAAGTTTTACCGGAAATTATCAAACAAGCAGATAAGTAACAATATGATTGGTCTAAGAACAATGTCTTAATTATGACAAGTATAATGATACTGATGTTTTATTTTTTCATTATAAATACATATTGTTACGACAGCGGAATTCACGTGACGGTGATAACACGTCATGAGTTTCTAGAAGGATTGGGGACCATCACGAATATCCTAGTATTTTCTAGACGCCCTCTATTTTTGTATATAAACCCGGCGAATAAAGCGGAGATAATAATAGCAGACAGGGAGATATAGAGACAGATAATCGAGTCAAGTCGTAAGTAATGTGCGTGAATCTTTGTGAATTATAGTATGTGTTGAAGTGAAAGTGACTGTGGAAATTCTGTGTATTGCAAATTTGTATTGAGAAAGAATAAACTAGTTTTATTTAAGAAAGGACACGTATCGCTGAAGTTCCTCGGGAAGAATTTATACCGGAAATTAACAAAGAACCAGAGACGTAACAATATATTTTTTATCGAAGCTGATTCTTTTAATACAAAATAAAATGAATTTTTCTGCATAAATTATTATACTTATAACTAGGATTAGAAATAACTGACTACAATTAACGATTTAACTATCTATATTGTGTACGCTACTTTGTAATTTTATCTGTTTATTTCGATTTATTTCTTCATATTTGACGACAAATAGTTACCAATTTGTTTAACTATAAGCTTTCGATTAAGAAAATGGTCGGAAATGTTAAATAATTGTCTTAGGTAAACTATAGTAACTTCAGGATTTATTTCAGAATTACATTATTTTATACGTACCAGAGTTTCAAAAATTCTTGAGGGCAAGAAGGTTCTTTTTATATTTGGTTTCATTAGCAATGGGTGAGGTAAATTATTGATATTGGAATTTGGAATATTATAATTAATATTGTAGTATTTTAAGTAATGATTTCTTTAAAAGTTATAGTATTTGACGTAACGTAGTATTGTATGTAACGATGTTCAGGATGTGTATTTAGTAACAGTATTACAAATGTATCAAAGAAACAACTAGAGAATGCTACAGGCTTGACGTGTTCGAACCTCTACTTTAGTGTTATTACTGTTTCTAGTGTTAGGCCCAGGCGTATTGGCAATCTTGAATGAGTGTTCCGCTACACGAGAGAAGAAAGACTTGGATAAACGATAATAACGAATAAATTGACACGTCTAAATGTAAACTTAAGCTTCATGATATCTCCCAGAAAAAGACTCAGTCCATGTGCTGTACATCCAATGGGTGTTATATGAGGGTATGCCTCTTTAATCTGTGTCCAAGCAGTTTTAATATTGGAAGCATTGTTAGTGACAATGGCATACACTTTGTTTGATCCGGTTTCCTCATTTACACTTTTGAGTTAATTCGCAATGTAATTGCTGATATTATGTTCAGTTTGGCTTCTGTGCTTTTGTAGAATACTAGTTGTGATGATGTAACTTATGATACTTTTCCCATGAATGTTTGACCATCAATCAGAAATAACGGCAACACAGTCAGCATTCTTGATAGTTTCACCAACTTTTTCCTGAACATGTGCATACTCTGCTTCCAACAAATGCAAGCTCAGTGCATGTATGGTGGGAGGTGTGTATGCAGGTCTGATGTTTTCGAACAATGCTTGCCACTAATGATTTGTTGTTAACATCAGGGGTGAACCAGACATAGATGGCACGTGCTAGGCTTTCATCAAGTTTGCATTGTGATGCAGTGTCTATGCTGTCAAAATATGATAGTTGTTTTGTGGTTGATGAAATGGATGGAACTGGTTGGCCTGAATCACTTGTGGTAGCAGAAAAACCAGATGACTGTAAAACAGCTTTTACAGTTTTTGTACTTTTGCAGTTAGCGCCAGGAGGAACTGTTGCTACTTTTTCACAGGGTGTTGATTCTGTGGTGTCCTTTTGCAAATGAGCTTGCTTCTTGGTTACATTTTGACATATTGCTGTGAACAGTAATTACATAAGTAAACTTCCTTGCTTTTTTTTTCATCGCATTGAAGTGTCTTTAAACATTAGATTGTATACGTGGCATTCTGAAATTCAGAAATTTTTTTCCAATGCTAATGTTCCAGATTAAAGCAGATATTATTAGACATTTTCTTGGCATCCTTTAAGTACAATCAAATACAGACTCAATTATGTATGAAATCCATGTGTACCTCAAGTCCTCAAATGATATATAGGACTATGGTAGATTAATTTTTTGGTCTAAGGATTTGCTGCTCATATGTTTTGGAAATTGGCAAGAAAACTTAAGTACAAATTTATTTACTGCTCCTATTTTAATAGGCTAGAAAGTGAAGAGAAAAAATAAAATTTAAAAATTATTGTCACTCTTCTTTTGACCTGGTGAATGTGTACAGTGTACTTTTAGTAAAGGTCTGAATTATGAAATGTTTACACAAAAGCTTGCATTTCCTCATGCACCCTAATAAAATACAACCAAACACACTAGTTAAAACTATGTGTATGTGGAGGATATTTCCTTTATTTCACAAGATATAACTCAGTTTTATTCGAAATGACATACATATTGGCAATGTTATATTGAAAAAAGGTTGAACCCTTTTCAATCAATGATGTTAACTATAACCTTAATTGAAATATTTCTTTATGAAAACTATGTAGATAGAATGGATCTGTATATCTAGGTCTTTAAATGTACTAATAATATAATAATAGATGGAAAACTTTGAGACCATTAATTAATTTCAATAGGTAAACCTAGTGGACTTCGCACTGCTCGTAAACATGTCACTCATCGCCGTGACCAACGATGGCATGATAAAGATTACAAGAAAGCCCATTTAGGAACTAGATGGAAGGCTAATCCCTTTGGAGGAGCATCACATGCCAAAGGGATTGTTCTAGAAAAAGTGTAAGAATTTTTTTTTCTCTCTTCCTTCTTTGGAGTTACTGGGACCGAAAGTGTTTTATAAATATTTATAATTAGTATATGTGCATTGACAGCCTTGACGATATTAATTTCTTCATGTAATATATTCTTGCATTATGTTTTTTTGGTTTAAGCTAAAGTATCAGTATAAAGTTGTAGACTGAGATGAATGTTGTCATGAATGTCTATTAGTTTTTTGAACATAGATATCCCTGATGTTCTAACTATTATTTTGTTAAAGTATAATTTCTACTGTTTTTTTTCTTTTTAATTGTAGATGTTTTAAACATGCCTTGCTTTGAATGTTTAAAGCTGATTTATCATTAGACTGAAGAGTTTATTCTCATAAATCAGAAAAACATACATTGCTTTATAATCTGTTATATTTACAACTTCTCAAGCATAGTGTAGGAAATGTTTTTGGAATCAGATATTTAATTGAGATTTAATTTTTGGTGTGAGAATTTTTTTTTATGTAGTCTAACCAAGCATCTTTCTTCTATTTTATAGTGGCGTAGAAGCCAAACAACCAAACTCTGCTATCAGAAAATGTGTTAGAGTTCAGTTAATCAAAAATGGAAAAAAAATCACTGCATTTGTTCCCAATGATGGCTGCCTAAATTATATTGAGGTAAGTCACAGAGTTTCTGGTTTGGTCCTAGTTCCCCAAAAGCGGGCCAAAGTCTGCCTGGACGGGTCACTTGTTTTAACTGCTGTCACCAATATACAGTAGTGTGTTGTCTATCAGTCAGTCAGTAGACACTAAAATGACATCACATAAGGGATGCTTAACATTACAACTTGTTCTGTTGTTGTGTCAGTAAAACATGAGTATGCCATGAATCATGAGAAGAATTATGCACGTTGTAGGCTACAACACAGCATGACATATGAACTTCAAAAACAAGAAATAAAATAACATGTTACTCTTAATTTTAGTTTTATTTACTATTGAAACAGAACACTCTGTAAAGAAAGTGGAATAAAAATTTCAATGTAGAGAACTTCATTGAATTTTGAAAATTTTGCACTTTTACTTTTGTTCTAGGTACATATTTAACTATTTCTGGACTGAAGTAGTATCAATGATATCCTCTGATTTTTTTTTTCATTTTTACAGTGGTTGAAATACTTAACCAAATTGCATGAAACTAGAATAAATATATTAAATTTGATTTAGTTTTTCTGTAATATAGTTTGTACGTTGTAAAATCTCCAACAATATTTTGTGGTACTGTTTTGAAAAACATCATCATCAAAAATATTTCCTTTCATTTTAGAATTAATAATTTTGGATTATTGATCAGAAAACTTCATTTTATATATATCAAGTCAGTTTCAACTTAATGGTTATTCATTAACATGTTTTTTTTTTTAAGACTTGTAATGTAGGTAAATTAATATATAGAATTACACACAGACTTTTCTGTATGTTAAAATAATTTTATTTGCGAACTTTCAGCCTTCTTACTGAAGCCTTCATTGGGTAACAATGTACATTGTCCAGTAAGAGGGCCGAAAGCTTGCAAATAAAAATATTTTATCATACAGAAAAGTCTGTGTTTAATTTTACAAACATATTTTTTGCTGTTTGCAGTAGTAAGCATAGCAAAAACTGTGAAAAAGATTTATCAGTGACCTAGGGCCATTACCTTTCAAAAAGGTGTCAGGTCGGACTAGGTAACATTATTTTTGATCATGATCAATTTATATCTAATTAATATTTTTTCCCTTCAATAAAGAATAAGTTATTTTATTTACATATTTTCTTTGAATATGATAAATTTAACAATGATTATAATCAATTTGTTTGGCTTTGATGTATAGTCCTTTACTTATCACTAAACTTTATAAGGCCTACATTATTTATTTGCTTTGCTTTTTCAAGCAGTAATGATGAGCTGTGAATTTAGTGAAAATAGTCTGCTGCAGCAGAAGTAGCAAATCAAAGAATAGGTTAAGCCTTTTACATCATCTTCAATGAAATTCACATTTTGGTGATGAAAACACAAATAAATAATCATCATTAACAAAGTATTCGAGTCATCAGAATATTTTGCCACTACGTACTGTAATTGTTAAATCTAAGTTTACTTGATGTCTTAATATAGAAGAAAATTTTCTTAGCTTCTTCAAACAAATATAATTTAACACTAATATTTTTAGGAAAGAAAAAGTGTGTCAATTGAAAGTATTAAAAAAAAATCCCAGATATGTGGTTTGTTCCTAAGTTTTCTAAACTTCCCATTAGATTCCATTGTTCTCTGCAGAAGCTAATTTTAGTTACTTTGCCACAAAATGACAAATTACTTCTTGCACTATTGTTTACATTCTATATTGATGTTAACAGTTTATAATCTGCTGTATCCAATAGTATTTAAACTTTACCTCTTGCAATTGTTTTCAAAGCAAAATGTTGGGATCAAAAAGCACTGAAAGAGAAGAACAATTGGGTTTCCCAATAAAACATGTCTAACTATATTTTAAAGGGATTATTGTCTCTTCACAAATATAATCCTGTGTTTTTGGATGGGCAGACTAATTCATAAAAAAATTATAATTGCTGTCTAGAAGCATGACTACTTGGAGCTGCACAGAAATTAATTTTAATTTTTTTGTGAATTACACTAAATCAGAGGAAAAAATGAAAAAATAATTAATATTAAAGTACAAAAATTAAATTGGTTAGTAGTTTGTAATTAGGGATGGTGCAACACTACCTGGACTACACATTCACAAATGTGCTGCATGGGGCTTCTAGAATTGAAGGGAAGAGAGTCTGTGCTTTGACCAGTGCTGAATGACAAGTTATTCTAGCTCTAGAATCTAAAAGAAAAGAGACTTGAATGTAAAAATTGAGATATTGAATAAATCAGTAGATGAATATGCAGAAAAGACAGACTGAAGGGCAAGTAACATTAATAACAAAATAATACTTTTTTTTAGAAAACTTCAAAAAGTGGGTCAGAAATTCAAAAAATTAAAGAAGGGATTAATTTCAGAGTAAATGATTTAAAGAAGTAGATTTAATGTAAGAAAAAAATTGTGCCCTGTTCTGTTTATTTAGTGTGCATATTTTTTAAAAGAGAAGGGGAAATTTTTAGTTTAAAAGTATAGATATGTCATGCTTTAGTGTTTGCATAATTAAAGTACAGGTAGCTCTATCATTAAGTGCTTGATTAAAAAATCATTTTAATTCTTTCTAACGATACTTTTTGCTCATGGCAACTTTATTTTTAGAGGAAATATCTAGTGAAAAGTAATATTCCTAATGATCTTATAAATATTAATTACATTAAAACCTTTGGTCAAAAATTGTATAACAATATTTCTCAACAGACTTCATTTTGCCTTTTTACCTATAGGCTTGATGGTTCAAATTCTTGTCACTGAACATGCCTGTCCTTTTGGCAATGGAAGCATTATAATGTGACATTCAGTCTCGCTACTTGTTTGTAAAAGAGTAGCCCAAGAGTTGGGTGGTGTTGAATAGCTGTCTTCCCTCTAGTCTGTCACTTCTAACTTAGAGACAGCTAGTGCAGATAACAGCTTTGTACAAAATTCAGAAACAAACGTGAACATTTTTCACCTCTTGTGATCTTGATGGTAGATCATTGTTTTCTCTCATTTCTTGTACTTTAAAGTTGGTAATACTATATTGTAGATTTTTAAGGCAGTTAAAATGCTATCCTAGAGCTTAAAATGTTGCAAAAATCATTCTGCACAAAATTTACATTTTTGACTTAAATGCATATTTAACATGCAAGTTATCAAATTCGTTAAATGTAATATAAGGAATGTTACTATAATTTATACTTTCTAATCCATCACATGTTTTTTATTTGCAGGAAAATGATGAAGTGTTAGTGGCAGGATTTGGTAGGAAAGGTCATGCTGTTGGTGATATCCCAGGCGTGAGGTTCAAGGTTGTCAAAGTGGCAAATGTGTCATTGTTAGCTCTGTACAAAGAGAAGAAAGAACGACCTAGATCATAACGATATGCTGACTGTACAAGTTTAACTTTCCAAATAAAAAACGCTTGTGTTCATTGCTGTGTGTATTATCCTTTTAATAAAATAATTCTTATCTTAATACCTGTGTACGACCTTTGTATTTGGTACAGAGGTATGTACAGACAATATAAAACACAATAAAATAACTTAATATCTCAATATGGTATTCCTATATGTCATACAAAGATTATTTATTCGTGTAACTTTCCATGATTTATGTTTAAGTAAGCTTAGTTGTTTTCTATAATTTAGTATAATCTTATGATAAGAGATCTACTGAAGTCAGCTTTGTACCAGAAGACAAGGTGTGGTTGTATAATCCCAGGAAGACCAAAGGAAAGTCTCCTAAGTTGTCTTCTCCATGGGAAGGTTCATATGACATAGTGGATCGTCTCTCAGACGTGACTTTCTGGATAAAATGTGGTCGGCGAGGTAAGCCAAAGGTGGTGCATGCCAACAGGCTTTGGCGTTATCACGGTCCAGGACATTTCAGTTGGGACGAAGTGAACATCGGAACAAATGACGCTGCTGAAGACGTGTCACCTGAAAAAGCCGCTGTCGAAGAAGGAAATCTACTCGGTTTCGAGAAGGGAAACAGCGAAGCCCTTGATGAAGTTACTATCACTGATGTGACTGTTACTGATAATGGAACATTTCCTGATGGAGCATATGAACTCCACGTGAAGCAGAAACCAATGAGACAGAGACCAGTACCGAAGAAGCTACGTCCTGTAAAATTAAGAGACTTTGTTTAATTTTAATTTTATTTTTGTAAATTGTGTACAATTAATTAAGTTATTGTTAATTAGCTATTGGTTTAATGTAAGTGGCTGTTGTTCGGGACAAACAATACTAAGGAAATGGCAGTGTTACGACATTGGAAGTCACGCGACGCTGGGAGCATGCTTGCTGGAGTTTCTCAAAGGATCATGAATTGTACCCCGCGAATGTCCGAGTGTTTGCCAGGCACCC